ACGGCCCACTGCGTTATGGTCATGCTCTTGCGAGCCACCTCGGAGAGCACGGGAGAGTGTGTGAGCCACGTTCCCGTACTCTCTCGGGCACACCTCAACCTGTCGCGTTGCTGACTGAACGACCAAGCGGGGTCCGCACAGCGTACACTCTCCTCTCACGAGTGGGACACGCTCCAGGGACGCGTTCGAATTCACCGCTGGCGAAGAGGCGCGCGCGTTTTCGAGACCACGCATAAGCGATAATTCGCCGATCCTGCCTTCGGGATGGCCCGGTTCGCGGTTTGTCGGTTTAGCGAGAATTTAACCCTTTGCGATCCTATATTCCGTAGGTATGGTAGTCTTAGGTAGCTTTATGGTAGCAAAAGGTGTCCACGGAGCGTTTAGAAGATAAAAGCGCTCGAGATTCGACCACCAGAAATCCATGATTTTCACATTTTCATGCATTCAGAAAAATATTTTGCAAATTTAAAACACCCCCGGACTTGGAGAATTTAAAGGGTTAGAATACTTTTTCGAAAGATTGAAAATTTAGCAGAGACACCTGTCCGCTCAAGCATTGTCCTATCTGAGAATAATCTAGCAGTTAACGAGAAAAATTTGATAAGACGACTGCGTGAAACGAAGCTTCACGTTGTTTTCTAGCAAACGAGATTCGTCTCCCAGGGCTTTCCCACTCCGATCTTTTCCCGGCTCTCCTCTCATCGCGAAGGTATCGCGCCATTCAAGGCTATCAGATTCGTGGACGGTTGTAAACACGTCGGGACCAGTTTTTTTTTCTCCCTCCCGGGAAAAATAAAACGATACACGTCATTATAGATCGGAATCTCAACTGGAAAGGGACAATCAATTACATCCTTCGATGAAAATCCCCGGCTGTTCGTCGACGCCATAATAAACCTAGTCCTCGCAAACTATCGAAGCAAGCTGGCTGCGAACAGTTCAGGTATATCAATTAGCCTCTGATCGTTCGTTTCGTCCGGAACGAGTAACTTTCCCGCATTATTCACCAAGAGATAGAGACGATCGCTACGAGCGAAGCGCCAAACGAGAGTCAACTTAAGAAACAACTTGGCCGGGTGCAACAGAGAGAATCCTTACTCTTCTTCTTCTCCTCGTGGTCGTCTCTTCTTCGTAGCTTGACCAGCTGAAAGAAATCGAGAAAGAGAGAGAGAGAGAGAGAAGAAGAACGAGATGAAAGACACTGGAAGACAGAGAGGTTAGCTTTGGAAGGGAACCGGGTGTTAGCCGGTACTCTTATCGCGTGGCGATCTGATCCTAATTTATAGCCGCGTCCCAAATAAACTAGTTTTCGCTGTCGTCACCTCGACCCTCTCCTCTCCTCTCCTCTCTCTCACACTGGTCCCGTAAACGGGGACCTTTCGGAGGCCTCGTGGCCTGTGGACGCTTATAACGCGCTTCTCTCGCGTCCAAAAGACCAAACTCTCTCCCTCCTGCTCGGGGACCATCTCTCGATCTACCTCCACCTCTCTCTCTCTCTCTCTCTACTCCCCTCAATCCTTCGAACTATGGCTACAGGGAGCCAGGTATACGTATAAGCTCCAGATCGTACGAGAGAGAGTGCCTCTTGTTGCACCTACCTGCCCCGGACCTTTGCTCCTTTTTTCACCACCTCTCCTGTTCCTCTTCTCGTCGAGAAGAGCGGAAAGGTGAGAACGAAGGAGAGACAGAGTGAACCGGAGACGCGTAGAACAGAGAGGAAAGAACACCCGTGGCCTATAATTGCCAATTAGCGAGGGGATATTTAATTGCCATTAGGCTGGGTGGTGAACTCCCGGTCTCCTCCTCCTCCTCCTCCTCCACGAATAGAGGTTCCCTCTCAACCTGACCTCGACCGAACAACCGTACCCTTCCGGCCTCGATATTTACACGATCGAGGAGAATCTGCATAAAATTCGCGACCACCAAGCAACCGGCTGTCGTCGCCGGCCTCCGCGGACGCGACAGGATAGCCGATCTTTTTAACGGCTACGAGATTCCGGGAGGATTCAGGTGTCTCCTCGATAAATCCTTGGGCCTGAACGTCGTCGTTGCGATTCCTTCTCCATCTAACTTCTTCTCTTCTACTTTCGCGATTCTCAACTCTTCTCCTCTCTCCGGTGGAAGAGAAGGACCGATCGCCGCGCGTTTCTGAAATTCCCGGCAGTTCCCCGTTCGTTTCCACGAGTAGTCGTCGCCGAGACAACACCATCGAGAGCGCGCGTCCTTCTTTGTCCTCGACCCTCATTTTTGCCTGGGTGTGAGACTCAAGAGTGGCGGGATCGCGGTGTTCGGGCTTTATTACACCGCGGACGAAGGATCGTGAGATCCTCAGGGACGAAACGGTAGCCCGGGTTTACGTCTCGACCGACGGCCGCTCGAGAGGAGACTCTCTCTCGGCGTCGTTGCTACCTGGGTAACCGGAGAACCTGCTAAAACCTCCCCGGCAGCCTCGTTCCTCTTCGTGGACGTTTGCAGAATCTCATACTCGCCACGGGGAATGAATTATCGTCCGGTGGATTCTTAATGAATTCGTCGAATGTTTAAGGAGTTCCTTGATCCATTTGTACCGGTCTCCACGTAGGACAATAGCTCACCGCCCTCGGATGGGTTTGTCGCTGTTGGAATATCGAGATATGCTAATATTTCTCGAGGTACCTGTACCAAGTTCTATGTATATTCACCTAGTTTCTGTTCGATTTAAACGTCGTTATTTGTCAGATTTTCTGGAGAGCGTTCAAATATATATTCGAGTATCGCAATACGTGGGCAGAACTTCCGTGGTAGATTCAGCAGATACAAATAAGAGAGGTTCGAGTAAACTTTTCACCTGTCAGGCCTCGTTTTCGAGTTACAATCGTTCTTGTGTTGTAACAGGTATTCACCTGTGTTCGGAGAGATTGCTCCTAGTGTATTATCATTGACCTCTGACCTGCTCACGGTAATTAGTTAGCACGTGAAGCGTTCGCGCAACTAATACAAGCAGTTAAATGAAAAGCTCAGTTTGTCGAAAGAATTGCCGAAGGACACAATCAGATAAGACAAACGCCTAATAAATTGTGTTCAAAAATGTTGAATCCACCGCTGTAATACCTACATTTTACGTTATACCCTGAATTTCGCCAAGTCTCCACCGAATTCAGCCATTCCTTCCTCCAAGCGAGTACAAAAACACAGTGAAATTGTCCAGCGAATTTTCCACTCCTACAAAGCCCCTACCTCGAGTTTCCCCTAGCGCAACACATCCCAAGAAATCCGGTGTCTTTCCACGCGGCTTATCAGGCTAATTTCTAATTACCTCGCTCCTCCGTCGATTAATCTCGCAGGATCTCTGCGGAAAATGCGCCGGTCGCTGATACTCTCACCGGGACATCCATTGTAATTATACAATTAAACGACGAACAACATCACCTCTCTCTACTCGTTCGACTTATCAACACTCCAACTCGATACGATCTCACGGAATACACGTCGACAGTGCGTCCGGTAATTTGGCCGGGACCTAATACGACCGTACGAACGATCAATTCTGTAATCTTTCGTAATTTCACGCTCGTTCCCGCCGCGGTATGCAAAAACACGAGGCCCGAAGACAGATAACACATACACCGGGTGGCAGAGAGTAATTACTCGTGCTTTTCCATCGAGCCAAAGCGACGTGGAACGTCTCGATGCGTGTAGTTTCTGGTGCAACGTTGACGCGAGACACGAAATTTCGCGTTATCTAAGAGAGAGATCGGTTCTCTCGTCTGGTTTTCGTAGCGGTTGACGTCGTCGTGGTTGTCGCACGTGTCGATTTCAACGAAATCCTCGTGACCTTCCGTGGTTCGCGTGAAATTACGACGTCGCGTTGCTCGCTGTCACGGAGGCTGGAGATCATCGTCGCGATTACGCGTAAATTACCGCCACGAGGACTCTCCGG